ATCCAAATGCTAAGCATATAGGCAATACCAGCAAGTGTAACAAAATAGCCCGTCTGTCCTTGATAATGAAAATTCTCTCCCTTTGTAGTCTAGCAACCACTATCTCATGGTGTTACGTTGTCATTTTCTAACATTATTACCACTAGGCATATTAATGATGCTCTAACCTAATATTGATTCCTAAATAGTTATTTTTGCACTTCTTAAGACTTAGAAATGCGCGCTTCATGAAAAAGAACAATAAATGAAGAAAAAATCTTGGTCATTGGCCCATAAGTCTTGGGAGGTCCGTATTGACAGGTCATACCACACCATAATAACATAATAAATAATCCAGTGAAACTGATTCACTAGCAAGTCCCACATTTTAAATATGGCAACCCTTTTCTTTTCCCAATAAATACATAATTTGGCAGTTTATAAAAGCACATGGCACATTTTATTCCGAGTCTCTTTCACGATAGGATCCAGTTTTTCAGTTTTCTTGCGTGAAGGACCGGCAAAGAATGATGCAACAACCTTCTAAAGCAAGCAGCCTACTGTGGAGGAATAGAATGACCTGTCTCATTATTGAGTTAGAGGACTCTATATATACACATTCCTAGGACAATAATAGGGAACATGTAATTCATCATATGTATGGGTATTTTATTAGTATATCTTTTACCCTGATTATACAAAGATACACTTTTCTACATAATATATATACTTTCCAACACTTCCCCTCAAGCAGGTGAATAAATATTGTCTATTTGCAGCTTCATAATTATCATATGAAATCCCGGATTACTCAACCCTTAACCAGCACATCAGCAAGTTGTGAGATAGTGGGCATGTAAAGTATACAAATCACACCACTATCCAGTTTTTCCTAGATAAAGTGTCTGTCGACTTCAATATGTCTGGTTCTGTCATGTTGTATCAGATTGTGTACTACACTAATTATTGACTTGTTAGCGCAATAAAGTTTAGTAGGCCCATCACATTCAATTCTCAAATCATCCAAGACTATTTTCAGCCATAAAAGTTCACTCACTCCTTGAGCCATTGCCCAAAAATTTAACTCTGCACTTATCGGGCTACTACATTTTGTTTATTGCTTCTCCAAGTGATGAAGTTTCCTCCAATAAAAATATAGTAACTAATGGTGGATCTTCTGTCCACTACTGATTTTACATAATTAGCATCAGTGTAGACTTCAATGATCAACCTATTGTTTCTTTTAAACATAATACATTTTTCTAGTGTACTCTTCAAATTGTGAGGTGCTCAATATGCAATTTGCAAGTGTACCACCTTGGACTTAATGCATGAATTGGCTTATCACACTTATTGTCTAGATGATATCCAATCTTGTGTTTGACAACTATATTAGTTTTCCAACCAGTTTTTGCTACATTTTCCTGTTAATATTCGAGTCTTCTTCTGTCAATTCCACTTTGTGATACCAATAGGTTTACATGCTAGCTTGATAGTCTCCTTCAAAAGGTCTTGACATACTTCTATAGTGAGATAAATATCTTATAGTTAGAGTAAGCAACTTCTATCCCAAGGAAGTACTTCAACTTTTCTAATTTTGTGATTTCAAATTATACTTCAACTTTTCTAATTTTGTGATTTCAAATTATCTAGTCTTGAGCACTATTCTCTCTCCTGCATCATTACCTGTCACTATTATGTCATCTGCATACAAAAGAAGGGTCGTGACTCCTCCTAAATTAGAATGTTTAATAAACAGGGTATGATTTTTTTCCCAACTCTGCATGTAACCCATAACTAGCATAACTCTTTCAAATCTTCCAAGCCATACCCTGGAGATTGTTTGAGCTTATATAGTGACTTTTTTAGCTCGCATATTTGATTTGCCTTTATGCCTCTAATAAACTTCAAAGGGATTTCCATATAAATTTCTTTTTCTAATTCTCTATGCATGAAGGACTTCTTCACATTGAACCGTTGCAACTGCCAATTAAAATTTGTAGTGATGAATGATAGGACATGTATCCTATTCATTTTTGCTAGTGGTCCGAATATCTCCGATGCATCAATCTCATAAGTTTTGGTATATATCCTTTGGTCGTCAATCTTGCCTTGTATCTCTCTAGATCTATCAAGCTTATACTGTATCATAAATATCCATTTGCACTCTACTAGTTTTTTCCCTTTGGTTTGCCGCCTCCCACATTTCATTATTCACCAAAGCCTGCATTTCAACTTTTTTAGCATTTTACTGTTTCTTAATGGTTAGAACCTCAGTATATTAGGAATGGATAATATTTTAGATTCACCAGAAAGTTTTTATGAAACAAAAACCATTTTCAAATGTTACAAAGTTTGAGATTGAGTGGAGCGGATGCTGTCTGCATTCTCTCATCCTTTTTCTAAATGCAATAAGTACATTTATATCTGAGAGTAAAGTTTTTAGAGCTTATCTCATTCCAGTACAGAACACTACCTTGTTGCCAGGGGCACTCAACCCAACTCTAACAATCGGTAAAGAAAGGGAACACATTGGAGTGATCATTGCAGAAAACCAAGTCATACTCGAAACAATTGTTAGAAAATTCATGAAAAACCAGCTAATTTGAAGATAATAAAATCAATCACAGACAAATAAAGGGAAATCGTGCTTTTATTAATGAAGTTGTCTCCACTAAAGAATCATACCCATTTAGCAAAAAGCATATAAAAATCCTTCAAAAATGTTCCTATATTAAAACTCTATCAATAACAACATAAGATAGTTGGGATAATAATCCAAAAAGATAATTCCTTTTAGCGCTCTTAATATCATTTAAGAAAGTAAAAAATACTTGGATCATTAACTCATTGGCACTCGACCACATGTTGAAAATCAAAACATTGTTCCAAGAATATAATTTATGTAATGAGAACCTCACCGTAAAACTAGCGGATGGGTCTCACTCAATAGCGTATGAAATATGTGATATCTCCATATCAATGAGTTAACCTTAAAGGGAATACTTTATATACCTACTTTAGATTGCAACTTGTTATCAATAAGCAAATTTACTCAAGATCATAAATGTATTGCTAAATGTTGTTAAAACTTAGGATTTGGATTCAAGGAGGACAATTGGCAATGCTAAGTTATATTTCGGACTCTTTCTCTTTAAGAATAATGAATTTTTCAGGAGAAAATCACCTAATACAGTATTATATTGAGTCTCAAGATATTTCAACTTACTTTGACAATTTTAATACAATCATATTATAGCATTATTGATCAGCACACTCAAACTTTGTGTATCTTCAAAAATTGTTCTCCTCTTTATTCAAAAATAAAAATACGAAAAACTATCATTATAAAGTATGTCAATTATCAAAATATACTCATACTATATATCTCATAATACATAGTGATGTCAAGAGACCATCTACAAACAACAATATTACTAATACCATATGATTTATATCCTTTGTAGATGATCATGTACAAATTACATGGTCATTTCTTATGAAAAAAAAACCAAAAGTTGGTCATATATTCAAAAAATTCAACAATATGGTCCAAACTCAATTCTGAACAAAAATACAAATGCCAAAGATAGACAAAACAAAAGAAAACTTTAGAAAGAATTGAGTACGTATTTTGAAAAAGAGGACATTATTCATCAAAGTCATGTGTTGATACCCTCAACAAAATAATATAGCCAAAAAGAATAATAGACATCTTTTGGAAGTTGTCCAATCCCTTATGTTCACAACTCAAGTTTCAAAATTGTTTTGAAGGGAAGTTGCTCTAACTGCAAACTTACCTTGTTACAAAATACCTTCCTAGGTCCTTGAGTTTCAAACACCCCTACCAAGTTACACGCCAATACTTTCTACCATTCTACTTCTATCTACCCTATTTATCAAAGTCTTTGATTAGGATTCATAAAAAGTGCTACGATTTTTTCCTACAGTTCTAATGCCTTGTGGAAGAACAGAATGTCTTCTCTTATTATTGAATTAGAGGGTCCTATATATACATATTCTTAGGGTAATAAAAGGAAATATACAATCAGTTGCATGTATGAGTATTTCACTAGTATACTCTTTACCCAGATTATACAAAAATACACTTTCCTACATAATATATACTTCCTAACACCAACCTATTTCAGTTCCTCACTTAAATGGGGGAAAATGCCAATATGCTCTATATTACACGCCAAGACAAAATATAGTTAACATTCCTAGTTACTTCATAATTTAAGATATTTAAAACCATTCCCATCCAGATAGGACCAATCCATAAAGCTCATATGATTATTAACAATTTAATTAAGACAATCTTAATGTTCCCATCTACAACAAAACTTCAGAGCCAGTTGGGACTTTTGGAGGAAAGAATAAAGTCAAGAGGAAAAGCAATCATGCAAAGTTGTGAATTTACCCGGAAATTTACCAAGGGAACAAGAAACCCATAAAAAATCATGTTCAATTCTTCGAAAATTTTCTTTCAAAAAAATAGAAGAGTAAGATTTTCAAACAGGTCAAGTTGAAAAAAATGACAACAACTTTCTCTATTTCCCACTTAAGTGACAATATCTTTACTTCTAAAAAAGTCTTTTCAGTTTTTTGAAGTTAAACACATTTTGTATTGTTTAACAATTAAAAATAGTTCAGAAAACAGAATAAAAAAGGAAAATATTTTCAGGGTCTGAACATGACCCAAGTGTTTGCCATTTCTCTTCTGTTCTATAGCACACTGCAAAAATTGATAACTATCTTAAACAATCTTAGATGAGGCAAATTTACATCCTATAAAAGATTATTCTCCAACATACTTAGAAGTATCCATTGTTGATAAAGAAAAAACAAAAATTAACAGCCAGAAGAATAAAACAGGAGTGGACTACCACTGAAACTCCACATGGAAAAAGGCATGAGATCAGAAAAGAAAAAAGTAACACGTTAATTTAGATACTTTTTGCATTGATGGAGAAGGAACCATTTTCAACATGCCCATCCACTTGAGATTCTGAGAAAGTGGTATCATCTCCAATTATTGATCTGGATTGTTCTTGATCACCAACTAGCGTAGCTTGGTCCATTGAAAGTTAAGAACTACAAACAAAATGTCATAAAAACAATATAATAAAGTTAAGTGCCTAGTGAGATAAAATATAAGAAAGTTCCTTTAGTCAATTCATGAAGTCTTTAGTTACTTTCTTTTAAAAAGTAGCATCCTTCTTTCCTATAAAACTTAAAATATTGAACATTGATTTTGATTGAATGAAACCATGTTCTGAAGATTTGATCTTCCTAATGTTCCTGCTTTTATGCAACAACAAAATCTTATTTAAATTCTTTTTAGTTACATTACCTTTTGTTCATTTTCAGTTAATTAATAATCAATGACAGCAAATTTGTGTTAGAAGGGCATACAATTGAAATATCAAATCTATCTAAACTTGATTCTGGAGTACTCAAAATGAATAAACATAACAGAAGGAAAAAGATACTATTATAAGAAGATAGTAACTTTTTTCTCTCCTTTCTTGGAGGCTTCCTGTGCCCAGTACTGCCATCATTGTCCAGAATGGCTTCTTCTTCAGTATCTAATGATCTACAAAGTTCTGAAAAATAAGGGAAAAGAAAAGAAAGAAAGAAACAATTCAGCAAAGCACCGGCACCATCACACCACAAACTGGACCAGTGAATAATCAGTTCACAGTCAACAATCATATGAAGGTCAATGTATTGATCAACCAGCAACATGTGCAACTTGGGATGAATGCAGACTCAACATTTTTGAGGAACAAATACCGAAAAAACATGACTTCATAGTTAATAGTCAAAAGTAAAGATGCTTCAGATAAAATGCGAGCCAAGAATAAGATATTTTAGTGACACCATCACGCCACAAACAGTAGAAGAACCAAGGCATCACCTCTAGAATATCAACTAAAAAGGAATATAAACCCAACAAACACCAATAACAAATGGATCCCTTATACCAAACCTCTTCAAAATCTACATTGTACCCTCATTGAGAGTAAAAAAAGTGATGTTTGACACCATATTAGAGTTAGAACAGTAAAAGAGATGATGCTTTATGATAGATTTATTGCATCCAAATTACAAATTTTCAACTACAAACATTTTGCAATTATTTCTCCACATATTTTTGTACTTCTACTTCTTTCAGTGGAGAATATATTTAGCCATGTTATCATCCCCAGAAAGACATTATAAAAACATTGCACCAAACAAAATAGAAAAAAGGAAAGGTGAAAAGCCTTCAAACCTGCATGAGCTGCATACTGACTGGCTTTAACAGGCCTTTTACAGGCATTGCAGCATACCTTCAAAGTAACATTGAACTGTCAGAAAATTAAAATCAAAGCAATACTTGCTTACTGCAGATACCAAGGATGCATGTAAATAATCATAAGCAATAACAGAAATGGCAAAGTAAACAATTGATATATTTTAATATAGGTAAAAAAGCCATAGACTAAAGTAGTTTTGTTTTTGGCTTACACCACTCAGCTTGAGTAATGTTTATTCTCCCTGTCAAAGAAGAATTAGATTTCCATGCCTGGGTAGAGTAGTGGAATCCTCTGCTCAAGCTATTGTAAAAACCATTGTAGGTAGGGTGAAACTTCCTTAGATTACCCTCCTTGGTATACCAGTCGTGGCCTTTAAGCAAGTCAAATATTCACAATAAGTAGATCACGTTGATAACCAATCACCATGTTCACACCAGGACTTTTAGCAGGAAATCATTTCCAACCAGTTCATTTCACAGCCTAGTCAAAAAGGCATAGATCTGTACTAAGATAATGAACAGGACCGTTGGACAAGAAAATATCACTTGCAAAAAAAGTGCCACTTTGCACAAAATTCCTTTGAGATTTCCAAAATAAACCATAGTTTTTAGTATACCACATCTTACCAACTTCAAAGGGTCAGCCATAGGTTTCAAACCAAAGACATGCATATCTGCAAAAAGTAATAATCTAGCAATTAAAAATAGAGTCAAAATGGCACTAAGCATAGCAGAAAGATTAAGGACATAAAATTTTTATGTTATAATCCCTAATTCTAAGACTCCTTTTATCTGCAGCAATTTACACAATTTCTCTCCTTTTCCTTTGTTAAGGGAAGAAGAACCACAATCTCCTCATGTATTAACCAAAAAAAAAAAAAGAAAAACACATCTAGATTAAAGAGCCCACAATTGTAACATCTAATAACAAAAAGTGAACCAGCTTAAACCAAATATGCTACGTAACTCGACTTATTAGTCATGCAAAGCTTCAATCATCTTACTTGGGCATTATGCTTTTAGAGGATAGACAAAAGTTGAAAGGAAAAGGAAAATATAAATGTCTATATCACCTTCTTCATCAAGCAAATTTGCTTCATCTGCCAGACATAATTCTTTATAAATATATTGAGCTGCTAGTTTCTGACGTCCAACCTCCTCTGCCGAAGGCAGACATTATGTGAGCAAAGAATTAAGGGAACCAACAGATAGAATAAAACAATAATTTAATGCCACTGAAAATGAAAAACCATGTTTTACCCAGTGATGCTTTCAGGGAGAGAAACTAAAATAAACAAATAATCCAGTCGACCAATGATAAAGACAGTAAGGACCTAGAGGCATAAATTTTTAAAGTTCCTAAAGATGATTCTTAAATAAAAGATTTGTCAGTAAAACATAAATTATGCACAAATTTGCTTCATCAGGACTACTGTTGTTGGCTTGCAGGGATTAAATTTGATGATGGCTGATAATGATAGTAGAGAACTGTGGGCATGGGCGGGTTTTTGTAAAAAAAAAAGACATTTGTTTCTTATTCCACTAACTATTTTTTGAGTTGGGTGGAAGGAAAGAAATACGAGAGCTTTTGAGGATATTGAGACTAATTTCACTAACATTAGAGATAGATGGATTCACATTTTTTACTCTATTTTGTTATGTCATAACATCAAAGATTGGGATGATTTAGGGATGCCATGAATCACTTGATTGATTTATAACTATATTTTATGTGTGCAGTACCTCATTGGCACCTTTGTGCATAATAATACTTTTCTTATATTTCAAAAAATAAAATAAAAGATTTGTCAGCTCATGTATTTCCTGAAAATGAACCAAAAGTTTCTGTTAAGCATCAACAGGCATAAAGCGAAACAGACAAATTAGATACAGATGATGAAGTAGGAAGTTAGATGTTATCTGCTGAGATATTAGAAATAACATGTAGGTTTTATTGATTTTCATTTCAAAATAAGTTAAAACCAGAAATGATGTGGATGGACTTCCAATAATTCTTTATATAGAGTTATTTTGTACAAGCTTGTTTTCCCATCAGAAGGAACCACATAAATGTTTCTGGCACAGCTATTATCTGATCCAGGAATGCAGAAGTGAAAGGAAAGAAATTGAAAATCCTGCTATTTATTGTTTCACCATTAAATCATTGTAAAGATTAGGAACTCTTATATTTTTAAACCCATCCACATCGCCGTAAACAATAATTTGAATGTTCTCTGTCCAATAGTTTCTAATCTAATCACATTTCTTCCTAATTGCTGATACCATTTGACTATATCTTGCTCAAAAGGACCAACACCACCCTAAGAAGCGTAAATAACTCAAAATCCACAAATAACTTGATGTAGTACAAATTAGGATTAATTTGTTTACTTAGAGATTTGGGAAAAAAAACCTAAATATCACACCTAGGGTTCGTAATCATGCCAAAAAGTTGATTGAATCACACAATCTGCTAAAAACTTCTGAAAAATATATTATTAAATACTTGAATGATTCTCTCAAAAGTTTATTATCATATTTATAGGGTGGTAGGTAGGTATTTCCAAATTATATTAGGAATTTCGAAGCTAATTTAGGAATATTGCTTCTAACAAAATCGGAATACTATATATTAAAAAGATTAGAAAAACAAATATAATGAACTGGAAAATAACCTAAATAATATTTCTTAAAGACTAAACTCCTATATGGCTTGGGGCCATCAAATTTCTCTATTATTCTCTCCTAGAAAAAGAGCCACACTATTAGAGAGTGGGGGTACCTGATATGTTCTTTGAGAAACCTCCAGCTTCAAGAAGTCTAGCCATGACCGCCATCCTCCCACTTTCAAGTGAACATACCATTGAGACAATAAACTACGTGCCTATCTATATAGTAGAACAAATAATATCAGCTAAAAGAGAGAACATGATCAAACAATATGCTATAGGACCAGTCACATTGCCATACAGCAATAACAGATCTATCACATTCAATTGCAGAAACACAGAAGCAAAGACGGAACCCAACCAAAACCCCAAAAATAATGGTAGTGGAAACTTAGCCACCAGGTAAATCGATTACATCCCGCTAGAATCAGTGGGGTAAATAGATTACATCCCGCTAGAATCAGTGGGTTATGTCTTGAGTCCCTCTTTCTTAACAAGCCAAAGAAATTACATATCAGGCAATGTGTATCGGTGTGTGCAGAACACTAAAAAATCAGCGTTACCGTGATACAATCATATGCATTCCACAAATATATTTATTTTCATAGCCATGCAACCCAAAGCTATCAACTGCTTTGTCTGTCAAACACTAAAAAAACTAATTAAACAGTTTCCAAACGTAAAAAGTAAGAATCAAATCATCACATATAGCAAATTAAACAGATAGGAAATGTTAAATGTCATCGCCTCACAAATAAATCAAAACCTACAAATTAACTGAGAGACACCGAACTCAGTCTGTGCGAAAATCCTCTGCCCCGTAAACCTTCAGACCGGAACTTCAACGAGAAACCGTGAAATACGAATCAATCTTGAATGAAGCCGTCCGTATAGAGACAATGTGCATTAAACCGGACGGGAACAAGAACAGGAGAAGTAAAAATTGAATGGTGAAAAACTGAAAACCCTAGATTATACAACAAAAGAGACGGCTTCGTGCTTCGTCCATGTATCTACAGAACAATCTGTACACTGACGACTCTTCTTCTTCTCTCTCCTTGACGAGGAGGAGAAGAAGAAAAGAGAGGTGGAGGGAAATGGCAAACGAGGCAGGAGTAAGGCTTTCTTTTTCTCTTGCTGTCTTTTTATTCTTTTCTGGGATCTGTAACATCCAGTACGTGTGCGCGTTTCGGTGCACCGCAATCTATCAGCATCTTAATTTGAATTTTGAAACAAAAACAAATGGATTTTGCGGCCTAATTGAGCCGGTTCGACCCGGTTTAATGGGCCTGAGCCTGCCACTTCATGAGCTGGAAAACTGAAATGCTAAGGCTTTTTTTTTTGTAACTAATTATAAAATCTTTTATTTATTTTAATTAATTTCCTGTAAATTTTGAATAATATATTGAAGCTTATCAAAATTATTATTTAAACAATATTTTATCATTGTTTATTCAAATAAGTGAGTATTTAAAAATAAATTCTGAAAAAAAAAAAAAAATCTAAATTTATCATAAACACAGTTTAAATAAAACACACTTTAACACCTCTTCATCTTGGCATATTTAAAATGAATACTTTATTTTATAACAAGTATTTAAAATTTTATATTTAATTTAATGCAACATAAAAATTCAAATCTACTTAAAATAAATTTATAACTGAATTGTCATTCTCTCATAAATAAATTACTATATATTTTCACTATATTATATAATAATAAATTAAATATTTTTTTATTTTAGTATCTAATTCTTCAAAACAAATAATTTATGACACTTTTTTTTTATTTTAGTCTTTTGTAATATTAATTTTTCATATTAAATTCAACTATCAAAAAATATAGTTCATCATACAAATTCAGCAAATATGACATGCTACCCTTAAAATTTATCAAAATATAATATTATTTTTATGTATCTAAATATCTTTATTCTCTCATTAAAATAACTCAATCATCATAACTATATCTCATTTTCTCTCATATCTCTTCTTTTTCTCTCAATCAAAATCTTCTTGCTTCATCATCTCAATCTTGCCCCATTTGTATTATTTTGTAAACCCCTATGTTATGTTTATATAGCTTTTAAGTACAATCAAGAAGGTTTTTGTAATAACTAAGTTATATATATATATATATATAATAAATAATAAGTAATAATATTAATAATGATATCTATATATGCATGCAAGAGGGGGAGGGGTGAGAAGAAACGGTTTAGATTAAAGGGTTGGGAAATTGAATTGGACAGTTGTGATGTTTAGCAGGGTAAGTTTAAATAGAAAAGAAAAAAAAGAAAAAGATTGAGAAAAAAAAAGGAAAAAAAAAAGAGAAAAGGGAAAGAAAATAGGAGACAATCGAGAGAAATTTGAGTGCGAGTCAGAGAAGGAAGAGACGAGAAGAGAGGGAAAGAGGTAATCGGTCGAAATAGGAGATAGTCGAGAGAAATTTGAGAGGGAGTCGGAGAAGGAAGAGACGAGAAGAGAGGGAAGGAGGTAATCGGTCGACGATTGAGAGAAAGCCGGAGAATGAGGAGACGATTAAGGTGAGGAAACCGTGCAGGAATTACGAACGGGAGTGCAATCTATGTATATCGTCACCATCAGGGGAGGAAGTTCGATTAACGTAGAGTTTAGGCTAGGAAAGGTAAAAATAAACGCATAGGTGAATATTTATCGCCAAGGAGATAGGAGATTTAAGGACCTCTGAGGTAAGGCTGGGAGTGGACTAATACCGGCGATTGTGAATGTAGGGGCAGTTTGAGAGGAACAATTGGGGAAATCGTGAGAGAGAGTTATAAGTGAGATGGAGTAGTTCAAGATGGACACTGGAATGAGTTGAAAGAGAGATATGACAGTAAGAGTGAGAGGGAATTATACTAGTATGAGAGAATAGCCGAAAGGGACACTTGGAGGGGATAAGAGAGAGAGAGATGACAGTGAGAGTGAGAAGGAATTATACTAGTGTGAGGGAGTAGCCCAAGAGGGACACATAGAGGGGATAAGAGAGAAGAGATAGATAAATGAGAGAAAATATGTGTGTGTATGGCCCGGGAGGGGCAATTGGGAGAGATAAGAGGGTGATACAATGAGAGGATATGAGTATGTATAAGTTATATGATGGGGATAATGAGTGTATATGTGGTTTCTGTTGAATTAACATGTATGTGGATGTTAGTATGAACTAGTTGATGTACTTTTTGAATATGTATATTTGTATGAATTATTCTTTATATTTGTTGAATATGCGTGCATGTGTGTTGTTGAACTATTGTTGTGGAAATTGTATAACTCTACTGGTGATATTGTTG